GAAGTAAGGGCAAAAAGGAGGAGAAGGTAAGGAAGGAAAAGTAAAGAGAGGATTAAAAAGGAAGAGGGCAAGGGAGGAAAGGCGAGGAAAGGGAGAAAGAAAGAAGGGAGATAGCGTATGGGAAGAGAATTGGAGAGAGGAGGGGGGAAGGAGGAAGGGGACAGAGAGAGGAAGAAGTAGGAGAACGTAGGGGAAGAGACGAGATAGATAGAAGGAAGTGGAGAAGAGATAGAGAAAGAGAGAGAGAGAGAGAAGAGAGAGAGAGAGAGAGAGAGGAGAGAGAGAGAGAGAGAGAGAGAGAGAGAGAGAGAGAGAGAGAGAGAGAGAGAGAGAGAGAGAGAGAGAGAGAATCAGAAGAGCTCGAGGGAGAGAGAAGAGCTCGAGGGAGAGAGAAGAGGAGAGTGAGTAAGGAGGTGAAGGAGAAGAAAAGAATAAAGACGAGGGAGAAGGAGTAATGAGATTGAAAGAGAAGAGGAGGGGGATGGAAGGGAAAGAGAGGATAACCTTTCCTTTTTTGTTGAGGGAAAAGAGGAAGGGGGGGGGGGTGGGGGGGTACAGCCGGAGAACGAAAGGAAAGAGAAGAGAAGGGAGGGGAAAGGAGATAAGAAGAGGGAGGGAAGAGAGGAAGCAAAAGGAAGTGAAAATAAGCTTAAAAAGTACAAAGAACAACAGACAAATAAAAAAAAAGAAACAAGAGAGGATAAAAAACAAAGATAAACGATAAACAAAAAAAGAGAATAGAGCAAAAAGAATTCACAGTAAAAGAAAAAAAAGTAGAGTTAAGAAATAATGATAATTATAATAATAATAATAATGATAAGAAGAAGAAGAAGAAAGAAAAAAGAAGAAAATAGTAATTTTTGGATAGGAATTACAACGAATGTGATAAGTAAAGTAAAAAAAAAAGAAATATCATTAGTAATAACTAATTTAGCAACCAAATCATCAGTATTGATAGTAGAAATAGGGGTAGAGAAAGCAATAGTAACATTAGTTGTAACTGCAATAAACAGAAATAACAGCAGTGAAAATAGTTGAGGCAGGAGTGGTAGTAATAGTATAGGAATTGAAGAATATTATCAAATATAAATCCGTGAGAAAGAAAATCTAGTCATTTAGATTTTCTGTTTATCATATATATAAAAATATATATACATATACACATACATATACATGTGTATATACTCACACACACATATATGCATATAATACATATATATATAGGTATACACCCGGCTGCGGCTACATGCGTATATATACACTTCGAGACATTGTCATTTAACTGTTCATTTACTTATACATTTACATGAAGCACAATCACCTCACAGTATGATATTAGCAGAAAAAGATGAATTCTCAGATTCACTGCAAAGCCCCATAAGGTGTTAACAATATCCTTATTTCTAAATCATATTCCCTTATAACATATATCAATTTATACAAAAAAGAGGCACGATGCTAATCACCTATGAACACAGTACTCACCAAAAACAGAACTAACAAACACTAAACCAAAACAATTATAAAACACAAACACACGTACAAAGACATTAGATTATACGAAAGGTACAGTCAGAAAAGTAAGTATCGTTACCCCTTTGCACGAACTAATACGAAAAATCGACGAAGCAGCATGGAATATCGCTTTACCATAAGTAAAGGTACGTTAGTGTTTTTTTTCGTTTTTTTTTTTTTTTTTCTTTTCTGACTGTACGTTATAACGTCACATGTTTACATTCATTAGTAAAGGTCGCACAATAGGATGGTGATCACTTTACGATCATTTCATAGAGAGAAATTATATTCTGTTATACATTAAGTTACGAGTTCCCTGAGACCGAAATGAGTTTCAATTTGTGTTATTATAATTTTTATTGTTATTACCATCATCACTGTTATTATCCTTTTCATTATTATCATCATCGTTGTTATTATGATTTTTATTGTTTTTATTATTATTATCATCACTATTATTATATTTTTTATTGTTTATATCATTATCACTATCACCATTATTACCGTTACTATAACAATTATCATTAATACTATTACCATTATTGTTCTCTCAGTATCATCTTTAGCATTAATAATATCACCCTCATGATCAGTTCCAGTTTTACTCTTTTATTATAGCAGTTTTTTAACCCTATAACTTCCACGTAACACTTCCTTACGAAAACCCCCTATATCAAGGCCAACCTCCCCGCTGGCATGGCTACAAGGAGTTTGATATGAATTCCTAGAGATTAAAGTTTTGATTTCTATGTCGTCGGGAATTTGGAAATACTTATTTTCTTATCTTCAATGTGCATTCTTTGTTTTTTGTTTTTTTCTTTCTTTTCTTTTTATCAAATGTGATTTTTTATTAGTAGTATCGATTTTGCGGGGTTTTATTCGGGATATTTGCATGTTATAGTGAATATCAGGTTAATTAAATAGTTTTAGAAAGAAAAGTTACTTGACTTATCAAATTTGACTTTTCGTAAATATTGGATAATTTACTTTTAAAGACTATCAAGACAATAACGAGGCTAACTAAAACCTTTTAAAAGATCTGATTTTGTCTGTTGATTAAAGGCAGAGCAAAGCTTATTAAAGTATTTCTTCTACTTTTCTTCTTCCTTTTATCATTATTCTATCTAATCTCGGCATCAGGGTTCAGATGATCAAATGAATATTCTATTCTATGTAACTGGCATGTAATATGGGCCGGTTCTCTCCTTTAGTCTTTCCCTTCTTTCATCATCGTGTTTTCTGGTCACTATTTATTGTTCTTTTTGATTGTATTCTCTCATTATCTTTATATACCTCTTCTGTATCTGTATTCCATTTTATTTGCGCGTTCTCTCTCATTATCTTTATTTAATGCTCTCTATTCCGCAATTGGTAATTCGTTCATGTGTTTTTCTTTTCGTTCAGTGTTCACTCATTATCTTTAATCTATGGTATTATCTATTTGTATTCCCTTTTTATGTGTATTTTAATCCTTGTACTATTCGTGTTTGCTCTTATTCTTTATTTATTCGCCTACTCTTTCAACCAGATCATTCCTTCCTTTCTGCTTTGCCTAATTACCTTAACGATTTCATGGTCTCGTTATTTCTCCGTTTCTGAAGTCATCAATCTTCTCTATCGCGTTTAACTATGTTCATCCGAATTCTATTGCCCTTCGCACTACATTCATCTTTTTTTTTTAGTTTTTTTTTTTCTCTCTCTATCGCTCTTCCCCATTTCCTATTGACTTTTTTTCCCCCTCTCCCTCTCTTCCTCTTGATTCCTTTCCACGTATTTGTTCCGCACAATTTTCTCTCATCTTCTCCCTTTCATGAGTTGGGTTGTCATCTGCCCTTTTTGAAACGCGGTGTTATTTTCCTGTCCCTCCTTGTTATCAGAAAATGGTGTCATTCCAATTACTTTAGAGCTTATGCCGAGTTTCTTTTTTTTTTGTTCATTTCTTGTCAAGCTTTACTTTTTTTCCCCCTAAAGAATGACTCCCGTAGAAACATGCAATATTGCAATGCAAAAGAATCACCTAATTACATTGTTATCCCTTTTTTGTACTTATCCCTATTTTTTTTTTTTTTTATTCATTTATTAATTTCTTGTCGAGCTTAACTTAAAAAAACAAAAAACACTCCCGTTGAAACATGCAATATCGCACTGCAAAAGCATCACCTAATTACCTACAAGTCAACCCACAGATGAGATCCGTATTCATCGTAGCCCCGCCCATTAATCTAAGCCCCGCCCATTCATCTTAGCTCCGCCCATTCATCTAAGCCCCGCCCATTAATCTCTAGATCCGTCCTTCAAATTCCGTGTCTTTTTTTCAAGTCATTTCAGTCGCTCGTGTGAGTCAAATATCTTTGTTTGTTTGTTTGTTTTTTCAGTCCCTCGGTGCTCGATAGATCCTCTTCCAGTCTATCTCTTTTAATAGAATAAAAGTTCTCGTCCTACAAGAAGGTATTTAATTCCTTTCTCTACATTTTAAACCTCGTCTATAGGATCCTAAGTCCTAATTATCCCTTATACTTTAACTTCTATACCTCGAAAACCTTTATTGGCCTTCAAGAAAAATAAAAGGGAAAGAAAGAAAAACAAGAAGAAAAAAAAGAAAAAAATTATGTTCTATAAAATCTTTCTCTACCTCTCTATCTGTTTCTAGTAAGTCTCTCTATTTGTATCTATTATCTGATAATAAAATCCTATAGGAAAAATGAAAAAAAAAATCTACCTTTAAGAAAAAGGAAAGAAAGAAAGAAAGAAAGACAAAAAAAAGATCGAATTCCCACAAAATTGACTTTTTTTCCTTTCCCAAAAATCCTGAACCATTAACCTCTTTCCTAAAATCCTACATAATTCACCCCTTTTTCTAGAACCCCTTTAAATCCTCCCTTCTTCTGACAACCCCCCCCCCCTCGAATTATCTCCTTTACCCTTAACTCTAACGAAATAATCACTTTTTCCAAAAATCTCCCAAAATTAAGGCTCTGTCTTTAAATCCCCAACCATATCACCCCCCCCCCCCCCGCCCCCGTCTTAACTCCTTTTTTTTTTATAAAGTCTTATTGTTTACCCATTGTTAAATCCCACAAAAAACACACCTGTACCTAAATCCTATAAAATGAACCCCTTTCCTTAAGTTCCAAAACATATAACTTTTTTTTTTATTCTTTTTTTATTTTAATCCTCCAAAAGAAAAAAAAAAAAAAAAAATCACGCCGTTTCTTAAATCCCACAAAATGATCCTCTTACATCAGATCACCAAAACACCAACCCTCTTTATCTCAAACTTTTTTTCTAAAAAGAAAAAAAAAACTTTTCGCTGCA